AGGGAGGGAGGGAGGAGGGAGGGAGATGTAATTTTGTTTCTGCATAATTATCTAATCAGCTGACACATACAAACGGCTGTCAAGATGAACTGAATGAAATCCTTCAACTCAAAGGAAAAGAGGGAGGTTAGTGTTGGGTAGTGCAAGACAGGTCAGAATACAGTTGTGAGATCAAAGCCCCAGTCTAACGCTATTTGCACACACGGAGAGTGGCCTGGTACGAACTCAGGCCATTTGTCTTTCAACACAGGTAGCCCTCCTCAGCCACACCACCCGATCTTGCTGCAAAACAGCAGGAGCTCCAGCCCCTCCTCTTCTTACCTGCAGGACTGCGCAGATCGCAAGCTTTGGAAGGGCACCTCGCAGGCCAAAGCGCTGGAGGAGGAGGAAAAGGAGACCCGGCGCAAAGAGGAGAATGTTCATTTTCACAGATACAGCCAGACTGGAAGGAAAGAGGAAAGAGGTATGGTGGGGGGGTGAGGTCATGTGATCATGATTTGTGACCTTTTTTTACAATGGTTGTAATGCAAATCACCACGGTTGTTAAGCGAATCACGTAGTCATTAAGCGAATTCCAGCAAAAAATGTCCATGGGGAAGCTGGATTTGCTTAATGACTGCAGTGATTCGCTTTATGACCATCGTAAAAATGGTTGTAAAATTGGGTCCAGTCATTTGGTGACTCATTTAATGACTGTCCCACTTAATGATCAATTTTCTGGTCCCTATTGTGGTCGATAAGTGAGGACTACCTGTATGTTTTGTTGAATAAACCACAATTGGCTGGGCTTACACAACAGATAAAACCAAATTAGTTATGGCTTAGCATAAGATATGAATCCAGACTAACTCATGAACGGAATTCAAGGCAGGCAGAACTGAGGCCGAAAGAAGAGATGAACGATGCTCAAAAAGCAACAAACATGCCTGTGTGGGTAAGGCCTGTCTCATTTGATCTGTAGTTCGTTGACTAGGATAGAAGGGCTGGGCATCTTCATCACACCAAGGCATAAACCCTGGCTTATAATCCCCCACAAAGAGTCCACATGTTGTGTTAAGCCAACACCAGACAAAAGGACTTTGGACAATTGAAGGGAACACAGACGGTTATAGGTGTTCGCATGCCAAGCCCTCTTAGGGCTACCCACCATTCTCTAGCCTAGGAGGTGAAACTTTTTCACCACAAGCCTCCGACGAAAAGCAGATGGCCTGACTGACATGGAAGGAGAAAGCCTGGAAAGCACGCAAAAGGCCGTTCTGCGGAGGATGAATCTCAGGCTTTCCAAGCTTGAGATGGGCCAGGTCACCCAGCAGGTACCTCTGCAAGGCACTGCTTTGCCTCCCCACTCCCCATCACCAGCAAAGGGGATCCCAGGGCAGCTCACCTAAAGCAGAAGCAGCCCCAGGACCAGCTGTCCTCCAGGAAGAGGTTGACAGCCACGAAAAGGATGGCCATGGCTACCGGATCATTGAAGAGGCGCAAGACGAAAATGGAGTGGATGCGGTAGGAGGCACAACACATGAAGAAGAACACGTAGGGAGGGACCTGCCACAGAGAGAGCAGTGAGGAGTCAGGCCCACCCCCACCGATGCCGCCTGGACTGAGGTCTAGGTGGGTAATATCCCCCCTGGTACATCTGTTTCTTGTCCTACGTGGAGCCATGCAGAGCGAAGAAGGCCTCACTTCTTCCAACCACTGGAAGGGCAACCTGGGGCTTCTTTGTTTGACAAGCCACCAGCAGAAGTCACAGTAGGTGGCAGCACCTCTCTAAACCAGGTTGCTCTTTAAATAACTGTGGTGAGCTCTAATTAGTCCCTGGATGGGAGGCCACCCGGAAATCATAGGGCTGTAGCTTAGATTTGGAAGTTGAAAAAAAAATCCCACTTATGCATTGCTCCCACAAAAATGGATGTCCCCTGTAGTCACCAGGAGTCAAAGTCAACACAAGGAGACTTGACCCTGACCTTGTCAACAGCAGCTGCAAAATGCATTAACAGCCCTTCTTTCTTTTCCAACACAGGAATTTATGTATCACCCTTCAGCACAAAAGCATAATGGCTTGAAAACTCAGGGAGGGGAAAAAACACACACCCTAAGCTTCCAAATTCCACAGTATTACTTAACACCAGACTTCCTCTGGGACAGCAAAAAGGTCCTTTTTATTACTGCTACCTAAATCGCTGCATGCCTTGTATGCTGCAAGCTCCATAAAATGAATAATTCATGACCTGAGCCATGACGCTTCCTAGAACCCTCTCTCCCCACAGTGAAGCTGCCCCCCTTTAAGCCTTTGTTTTTAGGCCATATACATTCTTCCTGGGTCATGGGATTCGGGGCTCGGGGTGGGCCTGCAACAGGAAAATGGATCCTCTTTAGCGCTTCCCGAAATCCCGTCACAGCTCCTGACCTTGTTGGTGCGGCTGTAGATGCGGAAAACAAGCAGCAGGGTGGCAAGGTACAGGGCGGCGAAGAAGTACTGCGCCAGGCGGATGTTGGTGCCTCGGCCAGTGGCGTAATACAGACCCATGAAGATATAAACAAAGCCAGCGGGGTACCTGCAGCGTGGGAGAGAGAAAGCGGGAAGGAAAGAGGAAGGAAAGAGAACCTCCTTGGCGTTCATGCTTGTTTTTCCAAGGACAGGACTCCTGCTCTCCCTCTGTTCATGGCATACATGGCACAGGGCCTGGTTGCTTGAGGGACTGCCTGTCTCCCATAGCATCTGCCCGACTGACTCAATCTTGCAGGATTGGCACACCCAGGGTTCCTTCCATTAAACAATGTCACCCCTCAGGACCCCAGAAGCACACTTTCTCTGTAGCAGTGCCTGCCCTCTGGAACAAGGTTCCCCCCTGAGATCCGGATGGCGCCCCATTCTGCTGTTGTTCAGAAGAGCTGTGAAAACCTGGATCTTCACCCAGGCATTCAGCAAGGGAGAGTAAGACCCCTTGTTCACCGTCCGATCTGTCATGTTTGCCATCTTTCATTGGTTTTAATGTAATTTCTTTGATTGTTGTGGGCCACCCAGAGTCATTGGATGTCAAGTGGTGTACAAGTTTAATAAATTACTATTATTACTATTATTATATACTCTCAACAGCCTCCATAAGCTTGGAAGTTCATAGGTACTCACACAAGGGGGCCTGTGTCCCCCTTTAGTTGCGTGTAATCCAGGGTCCCGTTCACAACACCCTCTACCTCATCCATGTAGGCTTTCCAGTCGATCTCAGTATCTGTGGGGAAAGCATGCACAGATGCTCATCAGTTCAGCTGCCAGAAGGCCTGGGCTCTCAAAGAACTCTAAAATAGCCCCAACAGCCTACTCTCTTGAGCTCACCATCCCATAGTCAAGTTCAAGTGATCAAAATGTGCCTGGTGGCCCCCTCACCATTTTCTCCTGCTACACCACGTGATCATACTTTGGAAAGGACCCTTCCCAGTATTATTTGGACTAGTTTTCAGTAGCCATGAGGACAGGTAATGGATATTTTCCTAGTGTTTCGTATTTTTCTCTATAACTTTTTAGCAAAAGTCATTGTTGCTGGATTTGACTCCTAACCTAACATTTCCTAAATAAATTGACAGACAACCAACAATTTTGATATGATGGAACATGTACTTGTGTTCAACATACAATGCGCAGTTCCCTAGAGGTGTGCAAAATACTTCAACCTAGGAACATCCTGACGCTGAAAGCCGCTTTCCAGTCTCACTGGAAGGGTTCAGAGGTCTTACTGGAAGCATTTCAACCTTGCAAAGGACTATTCCAGCTTTTGCTTTGCCATTGGAAAAGCCAAATTCAAGGTCAGAATGTTTCTAATAAGGCATTCTGACCGCAGAACACTACTAGTTTAATAGGAATGGAGTGTGGTTTCATGTAAAACGCTGTTTTTCAATGTTGGCAATTTTAAGATGTGTGAAGTTCAACTCCCAGAATTCCCCAGCCATTATGCTGGCTAGGAAATTCTGGGAGTTGAAGTCCACACATCTTAAAGTTGCCAAGGTTGAAAAATGCTGATGTACACTGTGCTAAGATACTACTGTTTTAATTAACTGAAAACTTAATTTGCATGGCCTCTGCACACATGAAATTAGTTTGCCAGTCAGATAACAGATGAACTCACATCTCCACTGACATCAGAAAGCTATTGGCTACATTCACCAACACTTAACCTGGTTACTGGATTAAGCTGTTTTCAGGACTGATATGATAATGGCGAACTAATAAAAGTTAGGTTTGCACACACATGCTATGCTACAAAAATGCCTAATGTGAATACTAAGTTTAGCATATGTGCAAAAGCATCTGCTTGATCTACTGACCTAGAATTATAGAAACACAAGGGCTGGAAAGGGCCACTGAGGCTGTCAAGTACACACATATGCACACACACACTTGCTCAGTGAGAGAATTTAAATTAAAGCAACTTGGACTGATGGCTGACCAGTCTCTGCCCACAGAAGAGAAATCCCCCACCTCTCTGGGGAACGGGTTCACTGCCAAACTGTTCTTAACTGTTAAGGACTTTTTCCTCTAGCAGTCAAGCTAACAGTGACTGCTTGTGTGAATGGCCAAAAAGCGGGGGGGGGGGGAACCCTCCTAAGAATTGGTTCAGGCTTCAAGACACATAACATCTGAATGTCCGTTTCCCTGGGTATCCCTCACACAGCCTGCAATCCTAGGAAGACATACAACTTCTTTACAAGATTCGGTTTCCAGCTACTTAGTTTAATAGAAAAAGAAACAAGGAGGCAATCAATGCCTGATCAGACTGAAGAACGAGATGGAGAGATTCTTCCCTTCTTTCTTCAAGATTACAGAGAGGGAAGAGGAAATATTTCTTCCAAGCGTGCCTTGTTAAATCTACGCAATCCCTGTCAGATGCCGGGACCGCCGCCAAGCTGGATGAGGGGCATCCAGAGGGGATGAGGGCACGGCGGCTTAGGCTCCGGGGCAGCAAAAGATACCCCTGCACGGCTCCGATTCTATTCTTGGTGCCCCTCGCCCGCCGGCCCACCCACCCTAGGGAAATCCTCC